ATGCCTTCTGTCTACAAAATGCTTGCCTGTGTTCCCAGTACCTGTGTGCCTAGTAAGTTATTGAATTGACCCGGATTACTCATGACCTTTGCCTGATTTCTCCTGCCCTTACCCGATGGCTTGCCTGAACCAATCTCTCCCTGGATGCCCCCATTATTAGATCTGACCTCCTGTTGCTGACTCTGGCGTGTGACCCCACAGATTTCCATAGCCTGCTCACCTTGGTACCTTACCAAGTACGCTCTACCATTACCGACGACTCGCGCCATGTCTGACTACGCACTTGCGCCGCCATCCATCCATCCATCCCATCTGGGTCACCTGACCTCCTCACATCATGGCTCTCCCTTTTTGGTTGGGAACCCCTGGCGAACACACACTACCACTGACAGGTGTTGCTCAGTAGAGGCGACCTGGTCTCTCGGTAACTAGCCAAGTCCATCCCACCATCAGGGGCCCTGGTGAACAAGTACCCTGGGGCTTAGACTCCGCACTCTGTACTGGGCACGCCTGACCAGTGGAGTGCTAGTGGTGCCGCTCGGCACGGTCCCTCACAGCGCCATTCATTCCTATGGGACCAATTTCACCACAAAAATGGCGATATTTCGTGAACCATTCGGCGAAACGTTCCACAAAGTAATAGCACCAATCGGAACAATCCGCACGTTTTGGTATATTACTGTCTATGTAGTGTAAAAACTGTTTATTTTTTTTGGGAGGAGTTTAGGGTGGTAAATTTGGCTGTAATAAGAATATATGTGAGATAAGTGGTCTTGCCATGCAAGAACACTTATAAGATATATATATGTGAGATAACAGTAAGTGGTCATGCCATGCAATGAACACTTAATTATAGTTCTCTGTAAAGCATAAACCTTTCTGTAGAGACTCCCCCACAACCCTTTTCTAGGCCTATTCTATCTATACTGTAACACTTGCCTATTCTGAAGTTGCTCCAGCGCAATCACATGATCTTCTCCAGCGCCAGCTTTCCCAGTGAAGGAGAGGTCGCCGACAAAAACCGCTGCAGAGCATAGGTGATGTCACACATAGGCCTATTATGGGGTAGCAGTTGTTGGATGTCCTTTTTCTATACTGAAGCTGCTGCTGGAGAGATGTGACCAGACCAGAGCGACTTCAGAATAGTATAGACATAAAGACACCCTAAGAAAGTTGTTCCTGGCGAGGTCACCAGGTAAAAATATAAAAAAAAAAGAGAAAATGAAATGCAGCCTCCACATAAGGTCTCGTTCACATGGACCATGTGAATCTGTGCACCCGCACGGGTGTCACAATGGGGCAGTTGCTGTGTCTGTGCAGCTGCTGTGTACCAATTAACAGCTATAGGCTGGCCTGCATGGGGAATCGCGGAACACTTATGAATCTCCATGCAGGCAGACAGCCCTCCTAAATGAGGCCTTAAAGAGTAACTTCACTTTTGATCCTCTCTGGGTGATCATTGTAAACTGCAAGGATTTAACAAGCTTTGTTGCAGATTCCTACGTGTTTTCACGCTGATGAAAAAACTGTTTGTTATGCAGGCCATAGGCGGGGAGAAAACTGGAACGATTTTTTAACAAAAAATGAAAAATCGGTTGTTCAATAGGCCGACGTTTACCACCAACAGTAAAAAATTATTGGCAGATTTTCTTCCCGTCTACGGCCGGCATTTAATTACTTCTGTCCTGCAGAGAGCCCCCGCTATTATATTTGACATTAAAAAGTATTGCGGTTGCAACATTGTATCTATTTGTATCCATTTCGGATACAGATGGGTTTTTTCGGATACAAATAGATACATTGTTGCAACCGCAATACTTTTTAATGTCAATATAATATAGCGGACTGTAATTCCTTCCCTGTCTCTCCTGTCTCTCCTCCTCCTCTCCCCTTAGTGCAGAGTTCTTCTCATAAGCAGGAAATGACATTTTTGTACACCAACTGTGTACAGAACACTTTCAAGTTGCCATGTTACAGAAAATGACAGTGCTGCAGTTGATGGAGGGAAAGATATAATTTTAATTACATCGAATTACAATATGGATTGTGTAGCAAATGCATATGAGATGGATACGGAAGATATATAGATCTATCTATCCTATGTTTTTTTTTTTTTTTTTGGTTTTTTTTTTTTCCCACGAAAGTAGAGTTACATTTTAAAGTGGTTGTAAAGGCCCCAAGGTTTACAAAACCACCTGTGTGCAGCAGCCCCCCTTCCTAATACTTACCCCTGATCCTGATTCAGCGATGTGCACAAGAGCAGCAGGTCTCTCCCTCCTCATTTGGCTGAGAGAACAGTGTAAGCCATTTGCTCCTGCTACTGTCAATCACAGCTAGTGAGACCAATGAGGAGTTGCCCCCATAGCAAGCTGCTTCCGGGAGGGAGGGGCCAGAGCTCTGTTGGGGGACCAAAGAAGAGTAGGATCCAAAACCATTGCACAGAGTGGGTAAGTATAACATGTTTTGGTATTTTAAAAAGAAATAAAACTCAGAGCCTTTATCACTTTAAGGACTGGAAAAGCTCCAATATTTTTTTGGGCTGGATACCGCTTTAGGGGTACTAGACATGAAAGAAACATAGAGGCTGCCATTGCTACCCTCCCCTTCTGAAAATACTAGTAAGGTCAGCATAACACAGGCATACAGCATTTTCTAAATGGCTTCTGTAATGGAAGATCTTTCTTTAAAGCGGAGCTCCACCCAAAGGGAAGTTCAGCTTATAAGGACTGCTCCCCCGCTCCCCATTAAGGATTGGCACCTTTTGGGGGCCGGGGGGGGGTGGAATACCCGAATTTGACAGGTACCCCGCTTTTACTTCCAATCCAAAGCGGAAGGTGTTCTCCCCTCCCTCCCTCCCTGTAGTCTTTTGGGACACGTGACAGGTCTCAGAAGACTACAGGACCATTCAAGAAGCGCAGCGCTACTTCGCGCATGCGCAGTGGGTACCCCCGGCTGTGAAGTCGCAAGCTGCACAGCCAGGTGCCCACACTGAAGATGCCGGCCTCCTGGAATACAGGACGGACGGTGAAACGAGCTGGGGGGGGGGGACACACTGCGGAACCGAGGGACAGGTAAGTGGCTGTTTTGTAAAAGTCAGCAGCTACAGTTTTTGTAGCTGCTGACTTTTATTTTTTGACAGGGTGAGTGGAACTCCACTTTAAGTCTTTACTTTAAAGGCCTACTTTCTAGATGAACTCTGCTTTGTATCCAAGTATGTGTGTTTATACTAGGATAGGGGGGAGAGTGCAAGGAATCTCATTTAGTTGATAGTGATGCATTTGTTTCTGATCCGACCTAAACTGGACAGATTAGGAGATTAACTTTTGTCTTTGGCCACATTTAGGCATGTTTTGTTTTCTGTGATCTGCATGACCCTGCAGGGAATGCTTCCATGTGTGCTGCTGCTGTTAAAATAAATTTATAATAAAAAAATAAGTGATTTGACTGAACAGCTTGATAGGTTTCTAAGAGGATATGTACATAGCAGATCTGAAAACATTAGTGACTCATGCTGTCGCCTTTGTACCATAAGTCTTTGCTTAAGAATCAGTATCTTATTACCTCTGATCAGTTAATTAGGATTCTCCTGCTTAGCTTCTTCTTTGTCTATTTTCAGCACTGTAGTGTGAAACATGGGGGCTGGAGGTTACAGGAAAACCAATCTAGAAGCTGCAACATGCTCAGTTACTTAGTTGTTTGGACTTTTTTGACTGTCGATATTTAATTTAAAGTGAATTTCCAGGCACCACCTAACTAATCTTAAAAATGCCCCCCCCCCAGATATGTGTGTATCTGGATGTCCCACGGACAGACCAAGCCTTGTTGCGCTCGCACACGACAGGGCAGTCCAGACCAAACTGCAAAAAGACAATGGAAGAGTGCACCAGCCTAGTGCATTATCCCAAACTGATTTATTGTAGTATAGATTAAAACATACTAACGAACGTGGGACAGTTTGCATAACAATTGACAGCCACTTGGTGCAATGACCGTTGGGGGCCAATGGACCCTGACGTCTAGATGAGGGCCCTCCCAGGGTCAAATTACGGCTCATTAGTTTCGAGGGCAACCCTTCCTCAGAGCCATCATGCATCTGCAGCCTCTCTCTCCTGATTCCCCTCCCTGTGACAGCAGGTGGGGCATCGTCTCTCCCTGCACCAGCTGTCACAATTTGATAATAACTCGGCTGATTCAGTTTCCTGTGAATGAATGCCTTCAAGTACCATCTACCATTGCAGCCGACTTCTTGTAGCTGTGAATGAACTATGAGGGTGAGCGCTCTCGTAGTCCATCGGTCTTCATGATCTCAGGTAACTGCCTGCCCATATGAGGTGCGGGCAGACAGCTATTCTGAGAGTCTGCAGGAGCCTGAGATTGCACCCACGATCTTATGATTGCAGGTGCAGTGCTCTACAGTCTTTTTAGAAAAAAAAAAAAAAAAAGTACAGCATAAACTCCCCCCCCCCGGAGCTATTTTAGGTAGACTTTCACACAGTAAAGCTGACAGTACATTTTACAACATGCTTGCACTCAGAGTTAGGTGGCCTAATCTTGCAGATCCTGATGTCAAGCACCACTGACCTTCAGAAGTTTTTTAGGGATTAAAGGAACTTAACTGATTGCGCATATATTCATAGAATATGATTTATACTTTCTATGGCACTAGTGTAATCATATTTCTCTCCACCTTTCAAAGCTCCACTACACAGGAATAGACCAAGTTTATCTGTAGCAGATTGATTGCTGCCTCCTGCTACCATGCATGCACTAGAATATATTTAGCACCTGGCCATCTATCTAAGTGAGTTGTAACTGCTTTGTGCATGCTTCTTTACTGTATATGGGTTACCATTAATATAATGTGTTTTTGTGTTTTTTTTTTGTTTTTTTTTTTTTTTTTAGGAAACACAGCTTTGCATGACTGTGCTGAATCTGGAAGCCTAGAAATCATGAAAATGCTTCTGAAATATGGAGCCAGAATGGAGAAGGATGGCTATGGAATGACACCGCTACTGTCAGCCAGTGTGACTGGTCACACAAACATTGTGGACTTCCTTACTCAGCACCCACAGACCAGTAAGAGAGAGCGTATCAATGCCCTGGAACTTCTTGGAGCTACATTTGTTGATAAAAAACGGGACCTTCTTGGTGCCTTAAAGTATTGGAAGAGAGCTATGGATATGAGATACAGTGATAGGACTAACGTCATCAGCAAGCCTGCTCCACAGGAATTAATAATGGCATATGATTATGCCAAGGAAGTAAATACTGCTGAGGAGCTAGATAACCTTATTGCTGACCCTGATGAGATGAGAATGCAAGCTCTTTTAATTAGAGAACGAATTTTGGGCCCTTCGCACCCAGATACATCTTATTACATCAGGTATCGGGGTGCAGTCTATGCCGACTCTGGGAACTTCAAGCGATGCATCAATCTTTGGAAGTATGCATTGGACATGCAGCAGAACAACCTGGATCCTTTAAGTCCAATGACAGCCAGTAGCCTGTTGTCATTTGCTGAGTTATTTTCCTTCATGCTTCAGGATCGGGCTAAAGGATTGCTTGGTACTACAGTTACATTTGATGACCTTATGGGTATACTGTGTAAAAGTGTACTGGAGATAGACCGAGCGGTCAGACAAGCGTTGATGCCTCCCGACCAAGTCCAGTTAAACAAGGCCCTCTCTATAATTTTGCACTTGATCTGTTTGCTGGAGAAAGTTCCCTGCAGCCCAGACCAAGAGCATTTCAAAAAGCAGAACATTTATAGGTTCCTTAAGCTGCAACCCAAAGGTAAAAATAACTTTAGCCCTCTTCACCTGGCTGTGGATAAGAACACCACTTGTGTCGGCCGCTACCCTGTTTGCAAATTCCCTTCTCTTCAGGTGACCGCCATCTTGTTGGAGTGTGGTGCTGATGTTAATGTCAGAGACTCTGAACAGAACAGTCCACTACATGTTGCTGCTCTCAACAACCACCCGGATATTATGAATCTGCTTATAAAAGCCGGGGCACATTTTGACTCTACAAATTCGCACAACCAAACTGCCTGTGATTTGCTGGATGAGAAGGAAATGGCAAAGAACTTAATCCAGCCCATCAACCACACCACTCTGCAGTGTTTGGCTGCACGTGTGATTGTCAAACATAATATAACCTACAGAAAGCAAATTCCTGAGAAGCTGGAGAGCTTTGTTTTGCTTCATAGATGATGCTTTGCCTGGACCTCTAGTACAACTGAAGGATGTGCGCTTTGACTGTTGGCTTCTTAATAAAGCACTGTTGATAGGAGACATAGTTATGCTTCAGCTGGTAATGTCATGATCCACTTGTCTCCGACATAGCATCATCTCCTCTGGAAGGATTTGTTACCCATATTTAAATCTGAAAATATATCAAAATTGGTTTTCTATGTCCTTTTAATTTGTATTTTCTGCACTCGACTTGTACAATCTGCCAAATTCAGTTTCCATTTTTGGTTTGTTTTCTGCCTGTTGTTCAGTAGGGGAGAGTGGCACACATTTTTTCTATATGCCTTTTCTGGTGGCTTCCTGCTATTTTGCTGGTTTCGTGGATTTTTTTCTTACCTGAGTTCCTGAGTTCAGGTCATTTCCGCTCTTGTAATCTTCAAGCCTTTCACTCCCAATGTTTCAATGGGTATCTTTCTATGGACCATTGCTAATTTGTAAAAGCTTTATGAACATGTTAATGTTTGCAATTACCATAAGTGCTTTATCTCCTCTATGCACTGGCTTAGACATGACTGTTGTGTGTTAGCATACTTCTATGCAGCATTTTGCCAGCTCAATTAGAACACAATTTGTAGTTTGTTTCCAAGTCAGTTTCCATTCTGCACTAAACAGCATGGCTATATTGTAAGAGTTTTGCTGGCTTCTGCAGGCAAAACCACATATGACTTTACAACTGCCTTCCCTTGATCTAGAAATACGAGAGGTATCTTGGGGGTTGGGAGGAGTATTCTGGCTCTTTAGATCCTTTGAATTACATTTAATGCTTAAAATTACAAGAGTGTGCAGAAATCCTCATACTCGTTATTTGTCCTTGAATACCTCCTCATTTAGCAAACTGTCAGAAATGAGAACTGCCTTGGCCTGTAGCAATCATGATTTCATTCAGAACTGCTACCCTTTCTGCTGCCATTTAATTGCCAACACTTCTCATTGCAGACATACATAAATTAGACCTTTGTTACTACTTAATTACCCTTTCTTAAAGGGACACTATCAAGAATAAATGCTTTAAACCTAGATCTGTGCATTTTTAACAAAACCGAGAGGTATTGTAGTATGGATAGGCTTACACGTACCCATCCTAATGTGGTGACTTCCATATATAAAACAGGAACTAATAGTGTCTTTGTCCATAATTAAAAATTAGTTTTCTTTTTTTTGCAGTTGGCAGCTTTGTTTCTTTTCGCTCTTGTTTTTGTAACTCACTGCATTAGGAGTGTAGAAACAAAACTGTGCACTAGAAAAATACTAGCAGCCTTGGAGAGTGTGATAAAGTATATAAATACACCAATGTGCAAAAATAGTACTAAAATATTTACAGAGGTTTGACAGTGTCCCTTTAATTGAAATTCATAATGTCTGTGTGGTATGCTGCATTATCAGTCAATCCTAATGCATATGTAGTATGATTGATTATACAGTGGGCGGGAGGTTGGACTGAGGCCAGGATTTCTTATAGTTTGTATTAATTAATGTTCTTTCTGTTTTCGGTAATTTGTTCAGGTAACCTGCATGCGTTGGTATGCCTCTTTAATCAGCGACATGCCTTTTTGTTTTTCAAAGAAGCAGAAACAACATACTTTGTGTATGGAGCCCAAACATCCAAATATCTGATTTGTCAAGTCAACCCATCATGCTTCTTTGTCCTTAGCAGGAAGGGCTTCTTGTTTGACCAGGAGTAAAGAAATGCAAATGAGTAAGATTCAGGTGACTAATTTAACACAGCACTTTACTGTTGCTCCAGAATAACATTTTTTTGGCCTTGCAAATGTCTTACAATAAAACTCTTGAGTGAACAAACAATCTTGCTTACTTGGGCAGAATTTAGTGTTGGCTGTTAACAGTTTTTATTTCTCTCTCTTAATTGATATTCAGAAACTATCATTTTTTTTGCACAGTAAGCCCTAATTTTCTAGACATTTAAAAAAAAAACTAGTAGTGAATGTTACGATGGTCTCCGAAACGTAGAGAAACGTGGAGGTTGTCATTGCTGACATGTCACTCTGCAAATGCTAGCTGCCGGCCAGTGATGCTGACTATCTTGATTCAAAACTTTTGACTTTTTAGCCAAGAGCAAGTATGCAAATATTGGCTTCTGAGGATTTTGGTGTGTGGGTTTTTTTTTTTTTGTTTTTTTACTTTTCTGGTCTATATATACATGATCTGGATCATTTACTTAAGTATTGGTGCCTGTGGGTCAATATAAAGGTCCGAAAACTTGAATTTTCAGAAGGTTTGCAGTGCAGGCTCCATATATTACTCGGTAACGCCTTTCATTGTAATCAAATAGATCTTCAGGCAAATAGCCAAAAATCACAGCTAAAAGACATGTTTTTACTGTTTTTATCAGCAAAAAAGAGTTGTCATTTTTGTTTAGGCTCTGCCACACCTGGTTCAATTCAGCTGCTCATAGAAAACCTCCCTGCTATGCAAACTGAGGTGATGATGCTGACTTAAGCCTAGTACACACTATCAGTTTGTTTTTTTGTTTCTTTTTCTCCTTCAACCCAGCAGGCTGAATGAAAAAAAAAAAAACAAAAAACTGAAGAGCCTTGGAGGAGATCATTGTACTAGCAAACATCAGATTGTTAGTACAGGAACTTCCCACTGAGCTATTGTGTTCTGACAGGGGGACGCCACCTGCCAGAACACACTGGTCAGCGCTCTTAATCATTGTCTGAGAACGCTGATCGGCAGACCTTTTTCGGTCATGCCCCTATGATAGAAGCCGGACCTTTTTCGGTCATGCCCCTATGATAGAAGCCGGACCTTTTTCGGTCATGCCCCTATGATAGAAGCCGGACCTTTTTCGGTCATGCCCCTATGATAGAAGCCGGACCTTTTTCGGTCATGCCCCTATGATAGAAGCCGGACCTTTTTCGGTCATGCCCCTATGATAGAAGCCGGACCTTTTTCGGTCATGCCCCTATGATAGAAGCCGGACCTTTTTCGGTCATGCCCCTATGATAGAAGCCGGACCTTTTTCGGTCATGCCCCTATGATAGAAGCCGGACCTTTTTCGGTCATGCCCCTATGATAGAAGCCGGACCTTTTTCGGTCATGCCCCTATGATAGAAGCCGGACCTTTTTCGGTCATGCCCCTATGATAGAAGCCGGACCTTTTTCGGTCATGCCCCTATGACAGAAGCCGGACCTTTTTCGGTCATGCCCCTATGATAGAAGCCGGACCTTTTTCGGTCATGCCCCTATGATAGAAGCCGGACCTTTTTCGGTCATGCCCCTATGATAGAAGCCGGACCTTTTTCGGTCATGCCCCTATGATAGAAGCCGGACCTTTTTCGGTCATGCCCCTATGATAGAAGCCGGACCTTTTTCGGTCATGCCCCTATGATAGAAGCCGGACCTTTTTCGGTCATGCCCCTATGATAGAAGCCGGACCTTTTTCGGTCATGCCCCTATGATAGAAGCCGGACCTTTTTCGGTCATGCCCCTATGATAGAAGCCGGACCTTTTTCGGTCATGCTCTTTACGATTAGCCAGACGTTCGGCCAGCTTCTGTTGGATCGGCTGTCGTACACACGGGCTGAATGTTGGCCGGTTTCTATTGAACCGCCTGATATATGGCTCGTGTGTATGGGGTTTTTATCTGTGCCACGAGCAGGCTAGTGGTTGAGAAGGTGATAAAGAAATTGCATTACTTAAGCAGTCTTTAAATGTGGCACCTGCATGATTGTGTGCAGTATGGCAGACACGGCCATAAAAAGTTATATCCCAGTTGTGTGTGTTACTCTTTGCTTAGCTATTTATACATCTTAGACACCACAAAAAAGGTCTTGGCATCTGTATTCCCAGCTATTCCCTATTGCTTAATGTGCACTAGTCTGATGTAAAAGGAGGGAGATTAAAAAGACAGGAAAGTTTCTAAGACTTCGAAAGGTGGAAAAAAAATGGGCCACACCACTATTTAATGATATATAATTTTGTTTGGTGTCTGAAGATGTTTATCATGTAATTTCCACTAACATAACAACCTAAATTAAATTTAGATATTTAGTCATCTTGGAAGGGGCTTTCTGTCATAATAAATTTTTTTCATATTGGATCTGGAAAATTCTCATTTAATATAAATTTTTGTTTGTTTTACCCTAATTCTCCATCTTGTATCTGCTGATATCTTTGCACAGTGTACATTATAATAGAGTGGTTAAATGTCCACTAAAAACTGTTCATATAGATTCTCCTTATTCTTTATTGAAGGTTTAAAGTGTATGTAAACCCTCACCTTTTAAAATAACCCATTCAGTTTAAAACTGAAAGAAAGACAAAACATTTATGGATACATATAAAAAACATTATAATTGCCTTTTCCCCCTTTTTATAATTAATCACCTTTTGTTCTCAGTTGTATAAGGAGCTCGGGGAGGAGAAACAGCAGGGCACGGATCTTCCCAGCCAATTACTGTGTGTATGGGGGGGGGGGGGGGGGGGGGGGGGGGGGCCATGCGCGTGGAGGTCACAGCACAAGTCTGATTAGTGGAGGACAGCAGGCTGCATTCCAGCACAGCTAAAGAACTGACCATGCTGTGCTCTCCTGCCTTGCATGGTCAGTTTTTTAATAGAAATGCAGAGGAACTAGCAGCTACACCAGGTATTTCACACAAATTAAGCAATACAAAGAGAACAGGATACTTTTGTCATACAATTTCTTGCTATAGCAGTCACATATCTGGATTATGAAATGTTGGATTGCCATATTTAACAGATATATATATAACGCCACTTTATATGGTACACCTGTTCAATTGCTTGGTAACACATTGTCAATCAGCCAATCATGTCGCACCAGATGTGGTGAAGACTATTTGCTGAAGTTCAAATGGAGCATCAGAATGGGGAAGAAAGGGGATTTAACTTTGATCATGGCATGGTTGTTGGTACCAGATGGACTGGTCTGAGTATTTAAAAAAAAAAAAAAAATAATAATTGCTGATCTACTGCGA